TGTTACGGTCCGTCCAGTAAACCACAGGGACAAAGGCATAAACGAATAAATGCTATTTATTTTCCTATTATTCTTCCAAAAAAACAACATCAAATTCCCAAAAAATATGACAAGAATGGGCCCAAAAGAAACCAACTAAAGCAAACCTAACTCAGGATAACAAACCAACAACTGACCTCCCACAGTGAACACACAGGGGAATTTAAACACAAAGGCTAGCCTACACACACAAATAGGGGTGGGAGATGAGGCAAAGAGAAACAGTGTATAAACATAAACAATTAATTTCAACCAACATATTTTAACTACACCACCATAACAAACACAAATCGAACCTAACATCAAAATATTTAAGGACTTACAGGACTGTCTCAGAAAATTAGAATATTGTGATAAAGTTCTTTATTTTCTGTAATGCAATTAAAAAACATGAAATGTCATACATTCTGGATTCATTACAAATCAACTGAAATATCGCAAGCCTTTTATTGTTTTAATATAGCTGATTATGGCGTACAGCTGAAGAAAACTAAAAATCCGATATTCTAATATTTTGAGATAAGATATTTGGGTTTCTTCAGCAAACATTTCATGTTTTTTAATTGCATTACAGAAAATAAAGAACTTTATCACAATATTCTAATTTTCTGAGACAGTCCTGTATGCTATAACTAGAAAGAGGAAAGGTCTTTTAACATCACGTCCCCCGCTTCCAGCAGCCTAATGGTTTGTTCCACTTCCTGGTTCATCTCTCCATCAGTCCTCTTTCCCAAACAAATAATTAATAATTACCAAAACAAAAGGCGTTTACTAAATGTGTGCACCCATACTAGTAAACAACCTAAAACAATAGACACACAAACAAATGAAATGATAAATGTATGGCATGAAACATTTAAATAAATACTAACACTGGGTTAATTGTGGAGGAACCTCCACACCCCCCCTTTCCCCTCCTTGTGTCCGGATCTGTGTCCAAACCGGAGAGAAATGGAAAAGCCCGAAACGGTTTCCGGGGGGAAGAAAAAGGCGTCTTTTGTTCGTTTGTTTGGTTTTAACCAAACAACTTTTTTAACCAAACTACTTTTTTTTTTTGGTAAAGACTAGGATTTTCTCCTTAAAACAGAAATAAATAAAAAAAAGAGCATTTTCCATTTCTAAAGAATCACTGGACGAATTCTTCGTCACGGAGCGTTAAAATAATTGCAAAAAAGAAAGATGAAACATTCAAAAATCCTTGTTTTTTTTTTTTTTTTGGTGTTTTTTTTTTACGGGGTAAAAGAGGAAGTGAAGGCCTGCTCTCAGAGGTTTAATGAAAGGAGAAACGATGGCGGGTTTTATAGTTTAGGGGCAGGTTTCTGCAGCAGGAACGAACAAAAGAGACCAAAAACTTCTTTAACGTATTTCTGATTCTGATTTAAATGTTTCCGAGTCGAGTCGGTTTGGTTTTTAAAGCGGCAGGATTTTCATTTTTGGGGGGCTGAGACACAAAAATCCTCCCATTCATCCTCATTTAAAGTCAGGAAGTCCAGGCAACCTGGTTTAGGTCACATGACTGAATCCTGTTTGTTGATTGGTTTAGATTAATCTAATTTAAGTCACATGACGAAATCCTGTCTGCTGATTGGTTAAGATTAATTATTTCGAGTCACATGACTGAATCCTGTCTGCTGATTGGTTAAGATTAATTATTTCGAGTCACATGACTGAATCCTGTTTGCTGATTAGTTTAGAGGAATTAATTTGAGTCACGTGACTTATTCCTGTCTGCTGATTGGTTTAGATGAATTAATTCGAGTCACATGACTGAATCCTTTATGTTGATTGGTTTAGATGAATTAATTCGACTCACATGACTGATTCCTGTCTTCTGATTGGCTTGGATTAATTTTGTTCCGGTCACATGACTGGATCCTGTCTGCTTATTGGTTCAGATTAATTAATTTGAGTCACATGACTGAATCCTTTATGCTTATTGGTTTAGATTAATTAATTCAAGTCACATGACTGAATCCTGTCTGCTGATTGGTTTACATTAATTAATTCAAATCACATGACTGAATCCTGTTAGTTGATTGGTTTAGATGAATTAATTCGAGTTACATGACTTATTCTTGTCTGCTGATTGGTTAGTTTCAGTCGGAGAGCAGCAGGGCACAGACAGAGTCTGGAAAAATATACACACACATATATATATATATATGTATTACATACATACTTACATACATTTATATATATTATAAACAGATATTTGTTATTGTAAAATCTGCCTTTCCTGCCCGGTAACAGAGATCTGATTGGCTGCTGGCTTCTGTCCTCAGTAGGGACTCAGGATTGACTCATCTGTGTGGTTTCTCCTCCCCAGGGGAAGCAGAAGGATGGCCTGGACCCCAGCGACCAGAGCTCCTCCCTGGCCGCCCCCCCCCCCAGCGGTGGGGGGGGTGGGGGGTGTGGGGGGGGCGGGGAGGATCCCTTCTGCTGGCCGGGGCCCAAAACGCTGCGTCTAAGGCGAACCTCTCAGGGTTTCGGCTTCACGCTGCGCCACTTCATCGTCTACCCGCCAGAGTCCGCCGTGCACAACTCGCTAAAGGTCAGAAACCCCCCCCCCCCCCTCCCCCCCCCCCCCCCAAACCCCCCCCCCCCCCCGGTTCGATCCCACCGACCGATTCAATCCGATCAATGAACGAGATCTCTTCCTCTTTAGGGGAAACCCACAGATTTGTGTTTGATCTGGGGCCAGAACCAGCTAAAAATAAACATAAATAAATCAAAATACTACAAATGCTCCTGTTAAATGATAACAATCTAATTGACCTATTCAACCATTTGGTTTATATTCTTCACATATTTCTTACTGTTATATTTATACAGAGAACAGAGAAATGTGAAATGTGGAAATCAATGGAGGGAATAAAAAGGGTTGATTCATTCCGATTGCAGTCCGATCGGTTCCTGATCAATGAATGAGATCTGTTCTTCTTTAGGGGAAACCCACAGATTTGTGTTTGATCCGGTCCAAAACGGGGTCAGGACCAGCTAAAAAGAAACATAAATAAATCAAAATACTACAAATGCTCCTGTTAAATGATAAAAAATACACAATCTCATATTTTTGGCTGTAATTTCTACCTATTTTTATGCGTTTTTTGTTATAAAAAGGTCATTAATTCACCTTTAATGTTTTAAAATCTAATTGACTTATTCAACCATTTGGTTTATATTCTTCACATATTTCTTACTCTTATATTTATACAGAGAACAGAGAAATGTGAAATGTGGAAATCAATGGAGGGAATAAAAAGGGTTGATTCATTCCGATTGCAGTCCGATCGGTTCCAGAACAATTAATGAGATCTGTTCCTCTTTAGGGGAAAGAAGATTTTCATTTGGATTTAGATTTGAATAAAGACAGAAAACATCATTAAACAGTCACTCAGATTATAAAGCACGTTTTAAAGTAAATAAATTACCTTTTTAAATGATATAGATTTAAATCATATAGATTTTTGTTTGGAATTAGATATGAATAATGACAGAAAACAAAATTAAACAGTCAGTCAGATGATAAAACACATTTTAAAGTAAAAAAATGACCTTTTCAAAAGATATAAATCAAAATGATATGTATTTACATTTGAATAAAGACAGAAAACATAATCACTCAAATTATAAAACACGTTTTAAGGTAAATAAATTACTTTTTTTAAAAGATATAAATCAAAATGATATGGATTTGCATTTGGAATTAGAGATGAATACAGACAGAAAACATAATTAAACAGTCTCTCAGATTTTAAACCATGTTTTAAAGTAAATAAATGACAATTTTTTAAACAAAAGTGCATCATTAAAGATGGAAATTATCGTAGAAATAAAATGATGTGACTTTTTTAATGGAAAAAGCGCCTTTCTGCAGTAGTGTGTCTGTTGGGGATCATTCAGGATAAGCCGGTTTGCTTTTGTCTGAAGTGTATTTGGTTAACTTTAACTAACGTTAACTTTTCCTACAAAGTTAGCACAGCTCTCCCTGTTTGTGGGTTTTGGATTTGAGAGGATCTGTGACAGGACTCTAGAGCAGTGTTTTTCAACCACTGGTCCTCGGCACAATAGTGAGTGATGGTCAGGTGTGCCGTAGAAAATCCTCCTATTTCACCTAATTGGTCTAAAAAAATGTTTTGATAAGGAATTAATTTTCTGCAAATAATATTCAATTTTTGAGTGTCTGTGCTGTTCTAGTGCCTGGTGGCGTAATCATGTAATAATTCCTTATGACTAGATTTTGTATATAATTTTGCATATTGAAGTGGACAATTTGAAAGACGAAATATAAAATATGATAAAAAATACATTTTTGTGTTTATTTGATTCCTATTCAAGACACTTAAGATAAAATAAGGATAACTATAGTGTTACTATAGGCGGATACAGATTTGTTTTACATTTTTGGTTGGTGTGCCTCGAGATTTTTTCAATGAAAAACTGTACCTTGGCTCAAAAAAGGTTGAAAAACACTGAACTAGAAGGACCCAGTCTGGACCAGTTTGGGCCTCCGGGAGCTCTTGGAGAGAGTTTTTAGGGAAGAATCAAAAGGGAAACCTGGTTTTGAGTCACTATAACCCCCCCCTCCCTTTGATGGGCGGGTCGAGGCAGAATCCTTTCACATTAGTCACCCTGTGTAATTACTTTAAGGGTATGGGATCGAAGCTAATCAC